TGGCTGCATAGGCACCAGCATTGGCTGCATAGGCACCAGCATTGTACAGTGGGGGGCAAGGAAGTGTACATGTGTGTACCATACATTGGGGTTCTGTTATTGGGGGGTGGATGTGTGTGTGTGTGAGGAGGGGGGGCGGGGTTGGCATGGTCCTGTACAAATGGCATCGCATATTTGCTTTTAATTAAGTGCTTATACTGTTTGAACCTGGTTTACATCCAGTGTAGGATAGCTGCACACTTTGGGGCTGATTTACACATTTTTCCACCCAGTCATACGCTGGGCAATGCGATTCAGAAGGCATTCCTGCAACCAGATGGAGCTGAGGGCGGAAGATTTATAATCCGCCCCCTTTGTGTTTTTAGAATTCATTAAAATGCTCGCAATGTTTCAGACTGTTTGCATTTTCATTGCCTTTCAAAATGGTCCCTACATGGTTTAGGCATGTGTTTGAAAAAAGGGAATACACGTGGGTGATGTGATGTGTGGACCTCAGCAGCAAATGGCATTTATCATACACAGCAGCTCAGCTATATTGTCTGGTTATTTGAGGGATACGAGGATTGATTTGTGTAATACCCTTGTATCTCCCCCGTCTCTCGCCAAATGAGAATGACAGAATCAGACGCCAATTAATCCGGCAAGGCTTGATTACACACATTAGAGTTTACAGCTCGCCATCCACTCCGAGACAAGATTGTGCTCCACATTGTGTTTGTTTTTAAAATGAATTCTGAAGCTACCAAGTCTTCAAGTCTTTAATTATTTCCTGTGTGTACTATCAATCATACGTCACCGGGGTTATGAAATGTGCACTATCGCACCACACCAGGAAATGTCATCTGCAAATAATGATTTGTACTATGGAAACAGATCTGAGAGCCGTGCTGCGCCTACAGGAGAATTATTTTACTTTATGTAGCTATAAGATATTAGAAATCACCCAACAAGTGCTAATGGATGTATACAATGCTGCTTCCTGCACCCCTCCCTAAAAGACTGTATCCCCTCACTAGACTGTCAGCTCTTCCACCTTCTGTATCCTCCCCAATGTCCTAATAGAATGTACGCTCTTTTACCTCCTGTATCCTCCCTTATATCCTAATAGATTGTAAGCTCTTCTACCATCTGCATCCTCCCTTATATCCTAATAGAGTGTAAGCTCTTCCACATTCTGTATCCTCAGCAATGTTCTAATATTTTGTAAGCTCTTCCACATTCTGTATCCCCCTTATATCCTAATAGATTGTAAGCTCTTCTACCATCTGCATCCTCCCTTATATCCTAATAGAGTGTAAGCTCTTCCACATTCTGTATCCTTATATCCTAATAGATGGTAAGCTCTTCTACCTCCTGTATCCTCCCTTATACCCTAATAGATTGTAAGCTCTTCCACATTCTGTATCCTCCCTCATACCCTAATGGGTTGTAAGCTCTTCTACCTTCTGTATCCTCCCTCATATCCTAATAGATTGTAAGCTCTTCTACCTTCTGTATCCTCCCTCATATCCTAATAGATTGTAAGCTCTTCTACCTTCTGTATCCTCCCTCATATCCTAATAAATTGTAAGCTCTTCCACATTCTGTATCCCCCCTTATATCCTAATGGGTTGTAAGCTCTTCTACCTTCTGTATCCTCCCTTATACCCTCATAGATTGTAAGCTCTTCTACCTTCTGTATCCTTCTTTATACGATAATAGACTGCAAACCTATTCTGTACCCCTTATGCCTAATCGATTGTTATCTCCAGGGACGTGTGGTGAGGTCAGTGGCAGGGGAGGCAACCCCTGGCCTGCCTCCACCCCGCCCCAGGACTGGTTAGCGAGCTATGTGTGGAGGAGGTAGGGAGGAGCCTCCCTGTCCCTCACTTGCTCATCACTGATGAAGCATGTAGATGGATTCTATCAGTGTTTTTTTTTTTTTAATTGGACGGCTTCGACCAATGGTGCTTTGCCATTGGTCCAAACAATTCACAGAGCTCAAGCCTCTGACTCCCAAGTCAGAGGCTGTTGTAGCTCTGACCTCACTGTGATAGGTTACCCACAGCAACTGGGAAGCCCGCTGCTGTGTAACCTAACATACCTGTCAAAAGCCAGATGAAGCGCCACCTGTAATTAACATGTGGCACTCCATCCATGACAGGTTACACAACGAGGAGATTTGTCTAAATGGAGAAAAAGCTGTCAGCTTAGGACTTTAAACTGACAACTTTTTCTTCCTTAATGGCAGTTGAGTCTCTGCATCACCTTCCTCCCCAGAACATACATCCCTGATGAGCACTACTCCCTTCTGTATCCTCCCTTACAACCTAATAGATTGTAAGCTTTTCCACCAACCTATAGACTGTAAGCTCCTCTACCATCTGTTTCCTCCCTTATGCTCTAATAGATTGGGGACCACACATCCCTGGTATGCTCTTCTACCTTCTGTATCCTTCCTTATACTATAATAGATGGTAAGCTCTTCCAACCATCTGTAGCCTCCCATATTCCCTAATAGACTGTAAGGTGGGCATTGGGGAATGGCAGGGACCTGACACATCTGGCAATGTCAGCTGCTGAAGATCCTAGGGGCGCCAATAAATCTGTAAACAGTTTCTATTCATCAGACCATGTTAATGGAAAGTATAATACATGTATTTTGCAATGCTGTTTGTTATAATTAACTGTCGGAGTTTGTGAGGCTGAAAACAAAGTGTGTAAACAGACCAGAGGGGAGTTCTTTAACTATAATGTGAAATATCCATTTTCTGTACAAGGAAGGGAAAAATCACAAATGTGTGACTGGTAATAACCGTTTATTTCCATAAAGTATCTTATTTATTCATTTACTGGTCCTCTGACGATCCATTATCCCGGGGAGAGTCTAGTACACTAATGTACTACGGCAAGTGTGGGGTTATTGCATTGTTGTTCCTGTTATGCACTAAGTGGCACAAATCGTCTAACCGGATACTTTTCCCTTCCCTGCTGCGACGTTCCAAATTGTACATCTGTATTCTCTGTCTGGAAACCTCGGCTTGTAAGAGCCAAATGACTCTGTCGGAGAGGAAAATGACGAGAGATAACCGGCACAGAGTGGTTTGTGCATTTGAGGATGAAAATGAATCCTGTTGTTTTTTCTTTTTTTTTCTTCTTCATCACCCTGAGAATAAAAATACAATTTTCTCTGGCCGCTCTGGCTCTGAGAGCCGGTCCTGCGCTGACCTCCCGCGAACGCAAAGATCTCTCATCCCGTCTCTGCTGTCAGCATCTGTGTTTTGTAATGAACCCGCGACGGAGGACACCGCGATACGGCAATTTGTCACATTCAATATCTCCGAGTCAAACAACATTTGATAACAATCCTGAATCTATTTGTTTGATGGGGCCAAGAGAAATTTGTCTGCTTCTATTTTCAGAAATCGCTAAATCTCTTTTTTTGGTTGTGACAAGCCGAGAAATGCCACATAGAGGCTACAACGATGACCCAAATGCATTACTGTCCCTTCTAAGTTATTTCTGTGTACGTGGTGACAATGTGTCCGAAATAAGGACCGTCTGTGTTAACGTACTGCTGCAGGTATTGGCCAGGATGATTAAGGGCCCATTCACACCAAAATTGGAAGGAAATCGCAAGTCAACTGAAGATCCGTTCACTTGCAAGTGTACCGTCCGATTTTTCTTTTTCCGATTCCGATTTTTTAGTGTCGAATTCGTTTTTATTAGCATTTTTAACAGAATTCAAACCATCCGTATCAAAACACAATGCGTAAAAAACAAGACATCGGCAGATGAGAAGAAGAGAATAAAACATCTGTGGTCTGGCATTGACATCTGAAGACATTTATACATGGCGCCTTAGGTTAGACAAAATAGCACATAAATCTAAGGCACCTAAAGGGTGTAAAGGAGTCATGGTATAAGGGGCAAACACCTACTCTGTCAAAACAGACCTATGCAAATCTGTTAAAGCAGCCCACTACGTGTCGGCACCGCTCAATATAGTCTCCAAACGAACAGTTTGAACAGCAGTCTATATTGGAGAAAGAATATAGAGGGGGAAGACATAACCTTTTTTTTTTTTTAAACATAACCTAATGCAACAGAACGGAGCAGTGTGAACTAGCCTCATTCCCACCCATTTCGTTTTTGGTGCCCTTCCGTTCGCATCCGTTGAAAAACAGATTGCAACAGATCACAATGCAATGGACCCGGTGGGCCCTTAGATGAATTGGGCCAAGGGTTGGATGGCAGAAAACTGCTGGGGGTCCATTTGGGGATTGGAAGCTTCTTAAGGCCAACTTCTGCTGTCACCCTGTCCCTCAGAGCACCTCCCCTACCTTTAAAAAAATGTTTAATCTGTATACATACATTTATATCTGCAGTCTTCAGTACTGTTAAGTGCCGTCATGGGTCCTCCTTATGTGGCAGTAGGCTCTTGAATGCTTCTTATAGTGGTACCAAGTAATGATGTGGTGCAGCTTTCTGCAGTATTCTTCTGTGAGTCCAAGGCACCATAAAGACACATCTTGCAGGTAGTGGCTCCTTGATACCCTGGACTCAAGTAAGTGAGTGGACCGACTGGTTGTATATCAATATTTTAATTGGGATTTTGAAGCAAAAATATCCATTATCCCCCTGACTGCCAGTCCTGTACCCATGTCTCCTTTGAACTGGCAGACTGGTTAGTGGCCCATCCTCATCCAGGTTAGCACAAGAGGACCCTAACATCATGACATCTGGAAGCAATGGTGTCTTACTAGAGCTCAATATTCAGCAGGAAGCACAACATTTACTAATTGCAGAGCTCTAGGTATGACTCACCAGGGTGGGGGGGGGGTTGGACCTCTCCAGTGAGACCACCATTTCAGAGACCAAAGGTCCTTATCTGCAGCATGGCTGACAGGGAACAGACATTTCTACTGGAGCTGTGGCTGCTATCTAAAGAAAGTGACAGTCTGTCTGGAGGGTACAAACCCTTCTACACAACGGCGAGCTGGGGTTAACCTGCATTGTACCTGAATAAAATGCCAGTAGAGTTTCATCCTCTTTGCTTTGGCGTAGTTGCATTCGATCAGTCGCGGGCGGCTGTTGACATCCACCAAACAGCGATTGTCGTCATCGTCAATGGTCGGGCTCAGCACCCCCACATGTATCTGTTGCATGCTGGTGTAGTAAACATTCTGAAAAAAGAAAAACCCCATTAGATCAATCAAGTTTTTTTTAAAAATACAGTTTTCACATTTGTTTTCTATTTTCAAAGGAAATCATTGGGTCTTAAGGCATTCTAGATTAGTGTAGTGATGTACTACCAGGTGTCGCCAACAGGTGGCTATACGTCTGCATTCTTTTTATTTAAAGGGTATCTATGGTCAAAAACAAAAAATAAACATGTATTTCTATACTGAATTTTCATAGGTTTGCTCTAGGGATCTAGCATGAGTACCAATATTTTGCTTTCGGTACTTGCCGATACCGGTGCTTCCGCTGGTATGGAGCCGGCTTCCCGGGCAATCAGCATGGAGCCGGCTTCCCGGGCAATCAGCATGGAGCCGGCTTCCTGGGCAATCAGCATGGAGCCGGCTTCCCGGGCATTCAGGAAGCCGGGATGTGGGTCATTACTCGCCACCCGGCTTCCTGATTGCCCAGGATGTGCAGGACAGGATATGCTGGGACTTCAGAACTACTTTAAGGAGATCTAGATTTATATACCATATTTATACATTGGTTTTCCTGTTTAGTAGTACCACACAGTGAGTATGCTTTACTGTTCTGATCCCCCAGTGCACACTTATCAATCAGCTTACTACTATCTCCAAGTGATGCGTCCTATTAAAAGTGGGCAACTGCACCTTCAAACAGATTACAATATTCCATTCATGCCCTCCTCTCCTGAGAACCATCATAGTATTCACACCCTTGGAAGATTTCATGCTTTGTCATGAAACAGATGATCACGGTAGAAAATCCCCCCGACAACGCTCCACCGTCACGCAATCACAGTAGATTTAACTGACGCCCATGATCAGGTCTGATATATTAAAGGGGGTGTATATATTGCAAATAGTTATAACAGACCCACTGGCTCCTTAAAGCCCATCTCTGGGGGAAACAAAAAATTATTGGTTCCCCGACTGTCGGCACGCGCCTCTCTCCCCCTCATCTCTGGCTGGTGAACTGTTCCTTGGTGTCCTCATGTCTAATGCAGGTCTATGGAACCTGGTCAGTGGTCCTTAGATTGCTAGAGTCCAGGGGGGCAAGAGGGCTGACGCTAATGGGGATCGGGTAAATAAATTTGCTTTACTCCAGCCTCTAGGCAAAAATTATCTCTGAGCCCTTGCAGTGAGGTGGCTAGCCCCACTACAATGGTACTTTGTCTTTGCCCGGGGATGAGCTTTAAATATCTTAGTGACTCAAGCAGTGAGATCTCTGTACATGGGTTCCCACCTCTGCCCACCTGCCACAGCCATAGTGAGTGTGGTGAAGGTCCAAGTGCTGCCACATAGAGGGCTTTGGTGAGTCACTGACCTAAAACTGCCAGTGAGGTCGGAACTCCTGACATATATCCGGCAATGGCGCTACCACATTTCAACTCCAATACGTTCCCTTTAACATGTGACGCAGACCAGAAGTGATATTGTGAACCCCCTGGAGCTGCCAAGATGTGACCACCAATACAGCAAATGTTGTTCAGGCTTCAGGCTCCTCATGTTCCAATCTCAGACATTCTAGATGCAGGAAGAGATACGTCAGCCGGAGAAGGGCCAATGTGTCCGTAACTCAATATTTTTATGTAACGGTGGTACAGTGTCTCATTAGTGTCTTCGTTTTCTCATACGCAGCAAAGACGATCTGAGTATTATTACAAAATGTGCACAGAAGCCCCATGTAGAAGCAGGCTATGATTACAGCGTTCCATCACTGTCAGGGTGCCGTGCAAGAACAGCATACGGGGAACGTAACCTTCCTACAGCTTCTAATTTACATGGCTCTCTCTGTAACATTCGCAGCACGATGCAAAATATTGTGTGTAATTTTGTTGTCTGAGTGGTATGTTTCAACGCGAGGCAAATACAGCACAGATAAAACATCTGATGAAAGTGCTTATGCAGCACCTTAACCTGCTCCCAGCTGAGATTGAAGATTAATGTTTTCCTTCTGCGCGCTCTTAAATGAGAGGTCTTCCGAACAACAGGAGATCAGAAAGGCCTCGTTTAAGTGACATCTTCTCCTGGAAACTCTGTGTGAGCTTTCCGGAGATCTTCCCCCTAGGATCTTCAGGGGAAAAAGTCACACTTACAGAACTGTACGGCTGATTTCCGATAAGGACCGAGATTTCACATAGCCCTCTATTCCCTTTATGACCACAAAATCATGCTTTATCACACATGGGTAGATACGTGTAGCTGCAGCAGAACATTGCACTTCTTTAGGACCTCTATGGGCCCCAGAAGTTGTTCTTGAAGCACAATTACTAAGGAAGACGTCCTTTATCCTAAATTCAGCAAAGGAGCTAACTTTATTTCACCATAGACCATGCATTGTGTCCTCTCTATGACACCGAGAGAACAGTCAACATATAAAATTGCTGCATTTGTTTCCTTTCTTTCATATGGGCTGATCAGGAGGGGATCTGGGGATCCTGATTGGAGAGATACAGATACCGCTGCAACATTCATGTCCATCCAGTTTTTCCTCCCTCTTGCAATGGAGGAAAAAACTTAAATGACCGGACACCATGTTGGTCTATGGGGATCGGATGTAAAGAGACACGTGTCCATTAACATTAGACTACCCCTGATCCAGCACCAGATTACCCCTGATCCGGTACAATCAGGTCCGTTGAAACGGGACACTGTTTTGTTTGTTTTTCCAGACCTTGCCGGAGCCAGGGCTAACCGGGTGTAAAGGGACACCCAAAGACATACATTGGGCATCCGATCGGGTCCACCTGAAAAACTGACAGACATACCCAACCCATGTGAATGGGGCCTTAGGTCGATACTCCAGCCAAAACTTGTTCCTGGTCTTACTCTTGGGCAGTGAAGGGTTACATAGTTACATAGTATTTGAGGTTGAATAAAGACATTAGTCCATCAAGTCCAACCTATTAGGATCTCATTCTAGGAGTACCTGTACCCCTGTATATTACCTGTACCCCTGTATATTACGGTCCCTTAATAGGACCAATACTGAGCCCAGATATTGTTTTAGTTCTCTTGCATAATGCGTGCATGGCCGGATTTCCCACAAGGCCAACCTCGGGGCATCAGGGAGTAGAGGGGCAGCAGGGGTGTGGAATTCAAATCTCTCTATGCCCGGGACATGCAGTTCTGGGCACCGGGCGGGTAGTTGTGATCTACATTTAGCCCTGCTTTGGACAAGCAGAGCTAAATGTACAGCGGGGAAGCCGCCTCTTTTTTTGTACAAGTGATCCCGGCGATGTCACCGAGATCACTTGTCTGCAGGCTGCAGGCCTGCCATTCTCCATGGGGGAGGGGGGTTTGGCGGGTAGGGGGGGCGCATTGAGGAACCTGGCCTTTGGGCAGCAGAGAGAGTAAATCCGGCCCTGAGTGCGGGTCAGTGATCAGACCTGCTTCTGTAGCTCACTTCTAACTGCGTCAATGTACCCCATATTGGCACTATATGCCCATTAGAGCTGACCACCAGGCAGATATTAAAGGCACACATCATGCAGTTCTTAAATGAATGCAGTGTAAGTACCTAAATTTGACTTGGTATCAGCCTCTTCCAGTACCTGCACAGCAGAACTCAGACTGGGAGGAGGAGACGCAGCACAAGCAGTCAATCAGTTTTTATGCTGACAGGAGTAGAAAGCAAAGTAACACACAGAGAAATAACTCATCACTGTGCCGCTTCCCCTTCACTATCTGGTCACAGGCTGTAGGTACATGACCACGTGAGCTCAGAGGCGGCGAGCTGTATGATGCTGGCTGTCATTAAACCTGAAAGGCTGAGGACATCTTGTGGTAGAAAGGAGTACTGCGGAGAACAGCTCTGGATTGAAGGTGAGTATTGCGGCAAAAGCTTATTTTATTTTCCCAATGTTATATTTTTTTAAATATTTGACTGTAATTCTGCTTTAGGCTTCATTCACACGAGAAAAGGCCGGCATGTACAGCTCGGTGCTGCTTGTGCGGCCGTATTGGGCAGCTCCCGGGAAGGACAGGTGCTGCGTGTGATTAGTACGCAGCCCTGTCCTTCTCTATGGGAGTACGCGGCCATATGCCACCCTACACTCACCCGTCCTGCACGTCCGTGTGGGTGTCCGTACTCGTACGCTGATGGGATTAATCCTGTCTGCGTCCGACCCGGGACACCACCCGCATGTACCTGCACTTGGGGTGAGCGTAGGGTCGGACGTGCAGGAGGGGTGAGTGTAGGGTGGCATATGGCCGCGTACTCCCATAGAGAAAGACAGGGGCTGCGTACTAATCACACACAGCACCTGTCCTTCCCGGGAGCTGCCCCATATGGCCGTGCATGCAGCACAGAGCTGTACGTGCCGGCCTTTTCTTGTGTGAATGAGGTCTTAAAGTATTTGGCACTTTGCAAAGAGAGAGAGGATAAGACTGGAATTCCACTTTAAGGATATACAATATATATGACTAAAGATAGATAGCTCTTCATTGTGGCGCTGGGTTGATGCTGTTTGGCAGGGGGAGATGCAATGTGCTTTTCTGTACAGAACAGAACACAATGTGCTAATACCTCTGAATCATCTTTAATATCCGTATGATTAGTATGTCACTAAGTATTATTATTGGCTGCTCGTGTAAAAAAACAAAATCCATTAAGAATCTGTTATAAAGTATCTTGTTAGCTGCAGATATAAATACTGCCAAACAATAGATGACAAATAACCCTCCAATTAATACTTTTATCCAGGTTTTCTCTTTTGTGACAAGAAGGAAGATCTGTACATTTTCGCTGAGGCTGCAGGCCCCCCCCGCCGATCGGCAGATTTCAATGCTTTGTGTCTCCGCTTACTAAGCGTCCTCAGAAAATCCCAAATTTTGAGTCGGCTCAGCAAAATAGGGGAAATCTTACAATGGGGATTGTTGTTCCAGTGAGCAGCGATTTTCCTCACTTTGGAGAGATTTTGTCCCGCTTCCTCTTGTGTCTATGGACAGAAAATGAAGGGGAATCTCCCCAATGGGGG